AACATGACGTTGATGAATTTTTAGCGATTAAGTAAAATAGATACAAAAATTATATATCAAAATATTTACTTTCTCAACTCCAGCTTAACTCTTTTAGAGTCGATATCTAGATTGAATTAGGGACGTCAATCTTGCTCGGGTGGCCCGCGGCTCGGGCCCAGCCTCATTTTTCAATGACATCTCAAGCCTAAGCCGGCCCATATCATAGGCCCGTTGCAAGTAGCTGTAGTTGCCTGCCTCCTACCTGAATCAGGCAGCTGTTTTGCATCACCAAAAGAAAATAATAAAAAAATTTGAGCCGGCTCAGCTCGGGCCACGTTCGAATGTCAGCTCACGAGCCGGCTCAACTCGGCACATTTACATCCTTAGATTGAATTAAAGATGTGGGTCGTGATGGGTTAACAAATAACGAAAACTTTGTCACAACCTACACTACCAAACACACCATGAAAATATGATTTATTTCTTATCCTTGACGTAGGCACAATAAATGCTGAAAAGTTGAATTCAAGTGCTGCGACTTTTGTTTCTAACAAAATTCTTTATGCATTAACATGCCCGTTAGTTTTTTCAGTGAGTTTACTTTTAAGTGAACAAGTAAATTTTAAAACAATTTAGGATAATCAAATTTGAAAATGAATAAGTTACTTAATTTAATAATATGTAATATGTCTCACTTCTAAAATAAAGGACTTTTTTATTATATTATAATAAAAATTTCTCATCCAAACACATCTAGAAAAAAACCAACTTACTTAGAATTAAGGTGGACTCTATGGGGAGAATGGAAAAGTATCTTAAAAAATTCCAAATCTTTCGACTTTTAACATCTTAGGGTCCGTTTGATTGCAAATGTGGAAAATGTATGAAAAGAAAATGAATTCTAGGGAATTGAATTACCTAGAAATTGTTTTACTGTGAATTGCAATTAATTGTGTTTGATTTGTATAATTTTCAACTTGGAAAATGTTGAAAGTTTGGTGTTCGTTTGATTTTATTTTTTATGAAAATTGTCTATTAAAGTGATAATTTTTTCTACCATTGGGTCTAGAATTTGTTCTAATTGCCAAAAAAAAAGTAAAAAAATTACCATATTGAATACAATTCGTTTGGTTTCATTTTGCATGGAAATTGTCAATAAAAGTGATAAATTTTTTTAATATTGTGTCTAGAATTTTTTTCAATTGCCAAAAAAAAAAAAACTACAAAAATTAATTTTTTTTTAAATAAAGCAATTCCATTTTGCTAATTAAATTGATAATTTTTTTTTACAATTGTATCTAGACTTTTTTTAAATTGCCAAAAAAAAAAAAACTACAAAAATTAATTTTTTTTTAAATAAAGCAATTCCATTTTGCCAAGAAAATGGATTCTCACCACTTTGACAAGAAAGTCAATTTCTTAAAAACATGGAAAATTGGTTGATGTGACACAAGTAAAGAAATATAATTTCATGGCAAATTTTGTTAATCAAACAAGTCAAAAAGTGAGAAATTGAATTTATTTGCTATTTTCCTTGGAAAATTAGACTTATCAAACACAACCTTATATATGGAGGAAATTTTCTCTCAATGTATCACCTTCTTCTTCTCACTACAACAAAGTTCACTTTTTACGGCATGCATTGTAGGCCGTAAATAACTATTTACGGCATACAACAAAACGTTGTATAAAATAATACCGTAAAAGTGGGTTACTTTTTACGGCGTGCAGAGTACACAGTTATTATTTATATGGCATTCCGTTGCACGCCATAAAAAGTATCTCACTTTTTACGACGTGTTAAAATGTAAGCGCTATTACTTTTACGACATTCCGTTGCACGCCATATAAAGTATCCCACTTTTTACGGCATGTTAAAATGTAAGCCATATATTTAATACATGTTACGGCGTTCAGTGAATGCATGCTGTAAAATGTGATATACTTTTTATGGTATGCCTCTGAACGCCGTATAAAATACTAAATTTACAGTTTATATTTTATTAATAGGAAGGAATAGGAAACATGGCATATCTGTTTGGAATATATTCCATTTTGAGAGAGTTGAAAAAGCATCATCTTTTCTATACATCTGCCATTTCATTTGCGTGCCTTATTCATTTTTCATTGCATTAAAATGCAAGATAATTTTGTTGTCCAACGAATTAATGGACCGCTATCACCTAAAACTGAATTTTCTAAAATTGACTTCATTGTCACATAAACTTTTGATCATTTAGAGTCCAGATGAATAACATTATTTTTAATTTAAACTATTTTGAAAGTAAAGGGAATGCAATAATCTTTCGTAAACAAGGTTTTTTTGTTATGATTAATATAAATAATTGATGAATTAAGGATTATAATATTCACATTATACGTATAATATGCCCCCATTTGGTCTTGATTAGATTTTTAAGTCAAAGTCAACAATTAATTTACACAATACATATTATAGGACCCTATAATTTTTTAACTACACATTTCATTGATTTTTATTAATCTGCATTATTCAAAATCAAACAGTTGGCGCAGCAAAAATTGATTTTGGGCATAGCTAATGTTTAAAAACTGAGGAATGGGCCGGTTTAGGTTTTACACACTTATGGGCCTTTTTAAAATCATTTAAGAGGAAATTACACCTAAACCTGATTTTAACATTCCATTTTCATAAATCTTGAATCAAGTTTCATTATGCAAAAATCAGGTTTTAATTAAAAATTTAAAAACATTTTTTTATTTTTTATTTTTAATTATATATACTTCTCTACCCTATCTACCCCAATCAAACCCTAAAATCAATTCTCAACTCTCATCGCCCCTTCTCCCGTCTCTCTATTCTACGGCGACGGCGGCGGCGGCTGCTCTTCTTCCCCTCATCTCCCCCTCTCATCTTCACTCTTTACTCGTCTGCAACACCTTCCACCGTCATCATCACCTAATTCCACCGCCCCAATTGGCTCGTCGCTGTAAAAAAAAATACAGAGGAGAAGTCGCGCAGCCAAGAAAAAGCAGGAGAAGGAGAGGAAAACAAGTGACAACCTCCGCCGCCAGTACATGCTTTCTGGTAGTTTCACGTGAAGATCCTATCGGCCTTTGTCGCAGTTCTCTCATCTCAGATCGTCGCTGCGGCTTGGGGATTTGTCTGGTAAGATGACCATCATTGATTTGTGTTCTGTAATTGTTGGGGGCGATGTGGTGTTAATGGTGTTAGGGTTGGTGGTGAGGTGGTGGTGGATACGGATTCAGATTCAGATCTCGCCGCGGTTGTGATGGTGTTAACGATGGTGTTGGTGGCGGCGATGGCTGGGGCTACAGATTCAGATTTTGCTACAGTTGGTGGTGGAGTGTGATGTTGGAGGTGGTGTTGGCGATGGTCGTGTTGGCGATGGTGGCGGGATGGGATGTGGTGGTGGTGGAGTATGATGCTGGAGGTGGTGTAGGATGCTGGCGGTTTTGGAGTGTTTGGGTGGTTTGTCCGTTGCGGTGGTGATAATGCAGTTTAGTTGTGTTTCTGCGGGCAACGGCGGTGGAGATGCGACGACGGTGGTGGTGCCGCTGATGGAGGCAGTGTTGAATTGGTGGTCACAAATAATTTAGTGGTGGTCACAAATGATTTTGTTGTCTGTGACCAATAATTTTGTTGGATTGTGACCCGTGAATTAGATAACTGTGACTAATACATGTCGTGTGACCTACGAATTATTAATTTGTGACCAATTATTTGATAAATTGTGACCTAACATATAATATACGTTCAATTAATGGGATGTTTGTGACCGTAAATAAGTATTGTGACTTACAAATTTTGTGATTTGTGACCGATGAAAAAATTGTGACTTTAAAATTTTTAAGTTGTGACCGATAAACAAATTGTGACCTATGAAAATTTTGAATTGTGACCTAAAAAATTTTGAATTGTGACCAAATTGTAGATCTGTGACCTTAACATATTCGCCGGAATCGGACCAGTCGTCGGAAAAGTCGTCGGAATAGTCGCTGGAGAAGAGTGGTGCTCGGAAAGTCGGTTGGGGTGGTGGAGGTGGGGTGGGGTAATTATATTAAATTAGAATTAAATATTTAATAATAAATTGATTTAGTAATTCATTAATTATTAATTAAAAATTAAAAAAACCTGATTTGTGAATTTTCAAACTTGTTTTTGTATTTTTGAAAAGGTGTAAAGTAAATACCTTATAAATGTATTGTTCCCATCATTTAATAGCATTTAGTGGCCACATCAGATTTTTTGAAATGCTGTACAAAAGCTGTAAATGAAAATGCTGTACAAGGAGCATTATCCGTTCTACTATAGATCTCCATAAATAGAGAGTTAATATTTCATGCTAGACAGCTATGATGATGCATAGAGTCATCATTAAGTTCATTGAAGACAAGTTTTGAGCATTCTACGTTACCTAAATGAGACGCCCTCCTTACAACAAAACTGGTCACCCTCTTAAACTGTGCGCATGTGTGTGTGTGTGTGAGAGAGAGAGAGTAGCGTAATATAATTTGGACTTGTAATTTGCACAACAAATCCAAAGTTTATATGGCTAAATAGAATCATGAACTGTGATCACAAGCAAAGATTCCCTAACTGAAAAGAATCAGGATGTAGTTGGCAATCATGAGTTTTTACAAGGTCTGCAATCATTTGAACAGCCTCCACAGAAGCCTCGCTAGATCTGACATAAAGAAACACAGTACAATCTGCTGAATTCTATACATTCATTTGATTGCAATGACAATGCAGAGTTCTACCATGGAACACCAAAATGAAAAAGGAGTAATATCATTAAGAAAAAAGAAATTCACTCTAATAAAGTTAATGAACAAAGATAAAAAAAGGAAGTAGACATTACAAATCACATGCAATAAATATGCCAGTAAGACAAATCATTATGAATGGCGTAAAATATTTTTAAAAAAATTTTAAGAAAAGGAGAAAGAATATGGACGACCTGACAACATCATCTGGGGAGCTTATGTTTCTTACTGAAGCAGCCAACAATTTTTCATGGAAGTTGAAGTGGGTACTGCTGCAAGCAAAGTACATATACACCGCACAGAACCACAGACACTCTCTTATAGACGGTCTGTTGTTCTATTGCTATCAACCTCTGGAAATTCATAGACATAAAACGTACCAGTAAGCCTAATTATCATTGTACAGCAAGTTTTACTACTCAACAAGTGTATGTGTGCATATCTACGTGTATGTCAAGGTGCTACTAGAACCTACAACAAAAATTTAAATAATCGTCTACTTTTATGCAATGCAAGAAGTGCCATATCTAACCTTGTATGCAGACAAGAGGGTGGACTCATAAAGTCGCATTTTTTGAACTTCTTTCGAAATTTTCATTTCTGGCTCCTTTTCCGTGGGCAACCTGATCCGGTAGCTGCAGTAGCACGGAAAATAGTAAAACTACCTATTTTATGCAAATAGAAAAGTGGAAAAAGTATGGGAACAGAATTACCAATTAAATCAACATTATTACCCCGGAATGGTGTCTTTGAAAACAGCCAGAAAAGACTTTAAGCCGAGTATGACTATTTCCCTGTTTCCATCTTTAGAAATCTCCAGCATCTCCCTTAGAGACTTGATGTTTGATTCTTCCTAGCACAGCAAGTTTATACTTCTTGCTCTCGTTGGCTTCTTCAGCTGTTAGATCTTTTTTCACCTCATCCTGTACACGGCCGCAAATTTTAACTCAACAAAAAGTGCCGGTATTAATAGTAGATAGAAAGGACTTTCTGGTTTCTCTTCATATCTTGAGACTATAATTAAGGGGGATCTGGAGTTGTCAAATTTTGAAAAAAGAATTTTTTTTTTATAATACTAGTTCATTCGAAACCAGATTGCAAAAGATCTGAAGTCTAGACTGAAATTTTCCGCAGAATAGCGCATTCACGCACAAATACCTCATAATTTCCATATAACATATTGTTCCTTTTGATTATACCCTTCTGAACTTGAATTTTATCCAAAAAATTCTGAATTCTGAACTCAGCCCACTAAATTTTCCTACATAGATTTTTCCAATCTGCAAAATTCAGTTATATGTAGGCAATCTGAAGAAACGTACACTTTACTATACGGCCCATCATAACTAGTCACAAATTGCAATTCAAAACTCTTCCCAAGAACCATAACTAATATTGTTAAAGGTAAATCTGGCATGGACATTGACTTTCAATTTGATGATAAATGAACTATAGAATGGAAATATTGTAACTAATGGCGATCCCATGATAGAATGTAAAGAATAATAAGTAACCAACTGAGTACTGTACTCCATTCAATCAGTAGTTATTTCATTCTCATATTCTCACGTGGACGTCATCAGTGTATCGAAAACCCAATCAAACAAGCTGTACTTGAAAATGTGTACCAAAACTTCTGCGTGAGAAGTTTGCTCCACTTCCTCTTTCACTTGTTTCTTTGCCTCTTTCCTCAATTTCTTAAGCTTTGCACGCTTTTCTGCTTTTGTCAACTTCACCACACTCAGGTCCTGTCCGGTGGCATCGCCTTCATTAGATTCACTTTCAACCTCTTAATCTCATTGGGCACTGGAATATCAAACACATTATTACTTTTGCATTTAAAGATACCTGTTCTATAGTAGAGTTTTCCATCCAAGGTTTTTACAGGAAGCGCATCAACAGGATCAACCTCAATTGCATTTTCCTCTATTTCCTTATTTGTCTGTTTCTTTCTCAACCTTTTCTCATACACACAATGACTCCAAATCATCTTCTTTTACATCCGCCACTCGCGTGACATGCCTGTTATATTTTTAATCAGAACAGTATTTTGACGGACCAAGTAACTAAACTAAAACATTTTTCAGTCAAATGAAGGCATACTTCCAACAAAAGCAACCTTTAAGCACAACCATCCATGATTAATGGGCTTTATTTGTCCCCATAAAAATAAATTAATTTATTTTTCATCCTCTTCGTATACATAATTATTTATGATTTTTGTGGCCTATATTTTTGCAATATTAAAGAGCAAGATCTTCTCAAATAGAAAATGGTATGATGGAATTTTTGAGTTACAGGCATCCAGAAGTTTTATAGTTAACAAATATTAGAAGCGATCAATTGTAAATACATTGCTGTTATTTGTATCTGATGCATGATTGATTGTGATGGTGATTCAGTAATTGTTGTTTAATGGCAGACCAAGAATATGAAGGTTGCTCAATGGCCCTAAGCACATCCAATAGCAGAAGAGGGGGAAAAAAAAGAAGAAGAAGAAGATTACACGTATTTGTCAACTGATTAGAACCTCATTCAAGGACCTAAACGTGTTTCACAACTTATCTCCAATGAGAGGAACCCTAGGAATTCAAATTTTTTTTTTTAATATACAAAACTGATTCGAGAAATATCTGTAGAAATTTTGGTGTCCAAACAGAAAACTTGGCAAGATTCTGGGGGTCACCTGAATGTCAAAAGTTATACTTGGACACTACAAAAAGAAGACTTTAGAAATCAGGTGCTAAAGATAAGAGTGAAGATTTGAACTTTCGAATTCATCCTCAGCATTTATTTTCAATTAGAATGAAGCAAACTCAGAACAAATTTAGAATTAATATATAAAGAAATCATTATTTGAGAGGAGACTCAAGATTGTAAGTTTATGTAGGAGATATTACACCGATAATGTGCATATTATATTGATCAAGAGCATGCCGTTAATATTATATTGATAATGTGCATCGGTGCTAACGGTTTCTCGGCAATCATCTCCCAAGATACAACGACCACGTCAAGCCATAGGAGCACTCCAAATGACTTAGACCAACGAACTCGAACGGAGTTCCCTCTCTACCATAACCATGATTTTGATGCAAGAAAAAATCACTTCTACAAAGTGTTTTATGCAAAA